CCAGCACAGCATAGCATGTGCTATGATGCTACACCTGCACGTGCTATACCTGTATGACTGAGAGAGCTTTATATCAAACGTCAGTGATGTGCCAGGCACTTTAACACACCAACAAACTCTACCCCAGTTATTATTCACACTTCACAACCATGGGCTCAGTGGAAGAGCACTTGTCCAGTGTGTGTGAGGCTCTGGGTTTGATCTCCAGCAAAACGAAATTTTAAAAAATGTTTAAAAGAAAGAAAAATCATGAAGGTGAAGTAGCTTGTCCAGATTCCTCCAGAAAGAGAATTTGAGCCCAGGTCTCCACCTCTTCCTACTCACCCAGTACTCTACCAACCCAGGGCCTGGCACTGCCCCTTCCCTCCCCCTCCAGTCCCCTCACGCTCCCCTGACCATCTTCTCCACCACAGGACACCTGACTGTGCTGCCAGCTGCAGCGCCCTTCCTCCTGTGGCCTCTGCCGCACACGGGAACCCACTGTCCTCAAAACTTGCACTGAGACCTCCTCCTCCACATCCACCTCCTCCTAGGTACCCAGCTACCTGGAGCTTTGTTTGCCCTCCTCCCCACACTACCCACTGGCACACAGTTTTGAGTGACACTCTGTTTACTGCACACAGACCCATCATGGACCCAAACAGGATGCAAGCAGAAAGTACCTCTACCATGTCACCATACCACCTGCTCTGCCTGGGTGTGATGGCTGAGCCTTCTCCATAGCACCTGCCCGAGTGATTAATGTGGCCCAACAAGCTGAAGGACAGGGAGGGACACGTGACAGGTCTCTGCAGCCAGCCCTGTGCTCTCCCTGGGAGCTGCCCCACCTCACTCCAGAGAAGGGATTTGATAAGCATGACCCTGTGCCAGGTGCTGCGTGAGACACTGTACGTCACTTCCCTCTCCACACAGCCCGGGGAAAGGGGACTCATTAGCCCACAGCTTCGTGATCAGAGTGGTTCCGGTCCATCACTACTGTCAGGTTCCGAGTAAGAGGCGTCACTTGGATGGTGCTGGTGCCAGGGGAGAAGAGGCAAGAGCTCTGCCCGTAGGTATGCCGAGTCTGCAGTGCGCTCGTGTGCGTATCCCAGCTGCTCCCTGGTCTTTGAGACAGGGCGTGCCCTTCTACTGTGAGGGTTTTTTCCTTGCACCGAGGGTCAACATTCCATGGTTCTTTCTTTCTAGGACTAAGCCTCTGGGAATGGAACCTGCCCTTCACAGAGCTAAAGGACTCAAGAACAAACTAACACTTGTTATATATTTTTATGTATTTTTATATGTATATATATATTTTATGAGTGCTTTATCTACATGTATATATGTGTGCCACATGTGCAGGGTTTGTGGAAGCCAGAGACATTGTGAGCCCCCCGGAACTGGAGTTACAGATAGTTGTGAGCCGCCACGTGGGTGCTTGGGACAGAACCTAGGTCCTCTGCATGGGCAGCAAGCGCTCTTAGCTACTGATCCATCTGTCCAGGCCCTCCCTGCCACTCTTTACACTGAGCCCACCCACACATCAACTGTACTCCAACCAGCTCCTCACACACACAGGGCATGTGGGTGCACACAGGCCTTTCAGGGTTTGGAGTTCCCTGCTTCCCTTCTGATACACAAAGCCTGTCATCTGTGAGCAGTGCTGACCTTCACTGGGCTCTGCCTGCTCCTCTGATTCATTTCTCTGTCCTTGGGGAGACCAGCATATGACCAGGGCTCCCTGCCCTTCCTCTAATCCCCTCTGCCAGTGCTCTGTCCACCAAGCCTTGTCCTTGCATAGGTTAGAGACAGGACAAAGCCTCCTCACACACCCACTCATGCAATGTTACCATGTGGCAAGGGGGGGGGGGTTCCTCCCTGCATCACAAGCCACCACAGTACCAGGACTGCCACAGAAGTGCTGTGGTCCTGGCTGGCCTGAAACTCTGTACAGAACAGGCTGGCCTCTGCCTCCTATGTGCTAGATTTAAAGGTGTGAGCCACCATGCCCAAACAAAAGTTCCTACCCGTTAGCTTTTCTTTTCCTTCAGGCCAATACCATGATAGGTCAGGAACCAGTAAATCCCAGTTTTACCTTGCCAACTCATCCAGTCCCTAGCCGACCTTCAGTCTCCCACGATCTCTGCACCACAGAATGCACTCAAACCATGGGAAGCGTCAGGTCTAGGACACACAATGTCATCCTTTGGGATGCATGTGACTTCCAAAACTTCCTAGGCAGAAATGGGTCCAAGCACTGTACGGAGATGGCCACTAGGGGGAGCTCTTCCCCAGTGGACTAGTGTAGGTGACAGCTAATCTCAAACTGAGGGAGGAAAAGCCCCACATCGATGAGGAAGGAATCAGCTACACAAACCCTTAGCATCCTTTCCCAACATTAAGGAAAACAGGTAGGTACAGCAGTGACCACGGGAATTAGAAAACAGGAAAAATGTGTCCAAGTGTACTCCAGTGACATGAATACTACCAGACTTAAATAATGGTGGCAAGGGCGGGCCTTAACAGGCTGCTGGGAAGCCCAAGACAGAAACCAGCAAATCACCTCACTAACCTGGGACAGCAGTCAAGGTTTTAGAACCAAGGCCTCCTTCCCATGAAACATGAATGACAATGTTCCAGCAACCCTGGATCTGAACATGATCACATGACTAGCGGTGAGTTCCCTGCAATTCCCAAGATTGTAAAGCTGAAAATAACATCTTCAGGAGTCAACACGAACTGCTAACAGCCAAAATGCTCCTCATACTAGATACAGGGAAGGCCATAACTAAACTGTCTGTAAGACTTACTTAAGGGGCTGGGGATTTAGCTCAGTGGTAGAGCGCTTGCCTAGCAAGTGCAAAGCCCTGGGTTCGATCCTCAGCTCCAAAAAAAAAAAAAGACTTACTTAAGTCAGGCATCTATCTGTGACCCCAGCACTCAGGAGACTGAGGCAGGACTGCTTTGAATTAGAGGCCACTCTGGTGAGTACTGGCTCAGGGAGGGTTATACTGCAAGACTGTCTCAAAACAGTAGAAACTTTAAAATGCAAGGACTTACTAAGTGCTGATAATACACCCAACATGGTGTTTGGCAGTGCCTAACTTCTCCACGGAAACAGCAACATGGAGGCCAGGACAACATACTAGAGCTGGTGAGCTCCTTCCCCATGCAGGGTCATCTTTACTGAGACATCTCGCCAGCCCTGCCAAGCATTTCTCTCAAGAAGCTAGGCATGATGAACAGAGTAAGGCAGAACAGACCGGTTATTAAATGCTGCTTTACTGACTTACTTAGTGATGTACTTAAAGCACTGCTTGTACTGCCTATTCACCAAGCAAGACTTCACTTACTACCTGGAACAGGATGACCTGGACAAAGAGCTGAAACAATGGGTCGTTGCCCCTAACAACCTGACTGCCAGAATGCTTCTGTAAAATCTTGATTGCTTCTTCACGCCACCTTGTGGTTTTACGGTGTAAAATGAGAATGCAAACTGGACCCAGGCCTGAGGCCATTTGGGAGCTGTCCATTCTCATTGGTGTCAGAATGCTTATTCCAGAAAGATCCCTACAACAACTGTGATATCTGCCTGTAATAGTAGGAGTGAGGAGGTTGAGGCAGGAGGATTGTGAGTTCAAGGCCAATTTGGGCTACAGAGCAAGTCTCAGATAGCCTGAGCATCATGATGAGAACTTGTGTAAAACAGAATCAGCACACTGACTTCCCTCCATCTTCTGTTTGCTGGCAAGAAAGTTCAAAGTCGTGTCAGTTGTCATCTATGTAGGTCCTCACTCTTTACATATTTTTCTTTTTAATGATTCCATTTTTATTTATGTGCCCTGGTGTTTTGCTTGCATGTATGATTAAAGGTGTTGGATACTCTGGAGCTGGAAATATAGTTGTGGGAATTGAACCAGGGTCCTCTGGAAGAGCAGCCAGTGTTCTTAACCTCTGAGCTATCTCTCCAGCCCCCTCTTCACATATTTCTATTACATTCCTCAAGCTTGACTTTTAATTTGTATTTGTCTCAATCTGATTTTGTATTTATTTCTGTTTTACAATGTTTCTCTATGTTTGTCCTAATTTGTTATATACAAAACCAGATAGAATGAGGCCAGACATAGACCATGTAATCAAATGACTTTAAAATACTGCAGCAACCCAGCACTGCAGTCGGAGTCCTCAGTTAGAATGTTAAACAGGATTATAAACTCTACATCTCAGATTTTAAAACTGTAGTATCTTCCTGGAATAAAAATATAACATCATAACTTTAGTAGCTTCATAATAAAAGACAGTTTTATTAAATGTTTTTTTTCCCCCCAAAACAGGGTTTCTCTGTGTAGTTTTGGTGCTCTGTAGACCAGGCTGGCCTCAAACTCACAGAGATCCACCTGCCTCTGCCTCCCAAGTGCTGGGATTAAAGCCATGCGCCACCACCACCCGGCTAAATGCTCAATTCTTAAAATTATTTTAAAAAATCCCATCCCTTTCCTGCCCCCCCTCAAAATAAGTAATGCCTAAGCAGCGTCACGCTCAACAAACTCTGCCATGAATCTAAAGTTCAGAAGACAGGGCTCTGCCAGAGGACATCTATGTTAGTCATGTGATGGCTAATCTTGGCGGTCAACTTGACTGCATCTGGAAATCACTGAAACCCAACAGCTGGGCACACCTGTAAGAGATTCTTCTTATCATTTGAGGTGGGAAGACCCACCTAAATCTAGGCCCCATTCTGGGGGCAGTATAAAGGACATGGGAGAAGGAAGCTTTTGCTGTCTGCCTGCTTGCCCTCACTCTTGGCACCAAGTTCATCTATCCTGTTACTGAGATGTTCCTTCGCTGGTATTAGAACCTACTTCTTCGGGATTCCAATGTAGACTGAAGACCAGCAGCTCTTAGGGATTCCTCAGGACTCTAGAGCCAGATTAGCTCTACAGAGACATCCATCCAGTCTTGACCTTTCCATCAGGAGACATCTGATGTTAGACTCAGAAAACAGGCTGTAAGCCACTCCGATAAATCATGCACACACACACTCTATCAGTTCTATTCCCTTAGAGAACCCTAAAATGGGTCATGATCCATATTTACAAAGCCTTGATTAGCTAACTGGCAATAGGGTGAGGACAGAAACAGCTAACACAAAAATACCAAAAACAAAAACCAGAAACCAGGAAAAGGGGCGGGGTGGGTGGGGATGTAGCTAAGTGGTGTAAGGTCAGTTCAATTCTCAGCACCACAGAGAGGATTAGGGACGCACAGTCTGACCGAAGGTTTTGTAATTTGCGACAATTTATAAACATTCAGAGTGCCCACGAAGTCCAAGAGAACAGATCCCGCTGTACAAAGGCAGGCCTTCGCCTCTCCCAGTCAGGCCCTCCTCTCAGGAGTCGTTCGGAAGCCCAAACAGCTTCACCGTCCCCGCTTCCCGGCTGCTGTCGTATTTGCCATCTTTGTCATCACAGGCAAATGCCAGGAGAGGCCGCTTGGGGTGCCAAGCCACGGTGAAGGTCGGGGACTCACACTGCACCTCCCATAGCTTGTCACCTATAGAAAGCAACATAAAGAATGTCACTAAGCAGCACAGTCATTAAGCACTCACAGAGAACACAAAGGCACAGATGTCACACACAAGTAGGTGACAGCTCTGAACCTCAACTCTGTACTCCCTAGAAAAGCAGTGACCAGCTATCGCTTGCTAAGCACCTTATAGATAGTGTGTCCTTTCCTGGATGCCAATGACAGCCCCGTAAGGCAGTTTTTAAAACCATTTTATGAATGAGAGGGAGTAGTGTCTTAACACAGTGACATCTAAAGAAACAGCACACAGTAAATGAGGCAGTTTGTCTCAGAGAAACAGATGCCGCATACCACAAAGCCTTGCAAATAAATTTCCCCAAAAGTTTACTTCCCTAATTTGTTGAAATTATACATGATTTCTTTCAGCTCTGCTCCAATTTTTTGCCCTAAATTAAGAGTTAAGACTTACAATGCCAGGAACTGGAGTGATACTCTTAGCAGCTAAGAGCATTAGCTGTTTTTCTAAAGGACCCAGGCTCGATTCCCAGAACCTGCATGGCAGCTCACAGCCATGTTTAACCAGTCCAAAGAGATCCAACACCCAGGAATCCAACCCCCTCTTCTGGCCACTATGAGCAAAAGGCACACACGTGATGTAGATATACATGCAGACAAAATAGCCATACGCATCAAATAAATGTTTGGGGTTTTTTTTTTGTTTGTTTGTTTGTTTATTTTTATTTTTATAAATAACTTACAGCGTAGTGCACATCTAACAGGTCAATTGTATGGCCAATGAATTACACTGTATACTATAAAGATGCACTCATGTATATGTTTAAGTACATATTTTTATGTTTATATACATGAAGTATTTAAAGTAGTTCTAAGTCAGGGATAGCTATCTACAGCTTGTCTGAATAACTTCTCAGCTATGTGGACATTCCCAGTGGTCTGGAGGCACTCACTACTACACAATTCTCACTTTTCTTTAGGTGTTTAATTCTGTATCATTTGTTACGGGTTTAGTGAAGACAAAAAATTCACACAACTCAAGAAAACCAAAGCAATCATGAAAAAGCCTCAGCTGTTTCCCAGGTAACCATGCAGCCTTACAAACCAAATACTGTGCTGGCTAGTTGATGTCAACTTGACACAAGCTAGAGTCATTGGAGAGGAGGGAGCTTCAACTGAGAAAATGCCCGCATAAGCTCTGGTGGTAGGCAGACCTATCGGGCATTTTCTTAATTAGTGATTGATGGGGAAGTGTAGTAGAATATTATTTAAGGGGTGTTACTTTTGCTATGTTGCATCTGTTTAACTCTGTGAAGCTGTGTAACTGTGCCTGTCTAAACACCTGATGGTCTAATAAAGCGTGAATGGCCAACAGCAAGGCAGGAGAAAGGATAGGTGGAGCTGGCAGGCAAAGAGGATATACAGAGGCAGAATCTGGGCAGGGAGGAGAACTCCAGGGGCCAGCCACCCAGCTAGCCACAGAGTAAGAGTAAGATTTACAGAAGAGAACAGGAAAAGCCCAGAGGCAAAAGGTAGTCGAGATAAGTTAAGAAAAGCTGGCTAGAAACTAAGCCAAGCCAAGGCCAGACACTCATAATTAAAAATAAGCCTCCGTGTGTGATTTATTTGGGAGCTGGGTGGCTGGCCCCTGGAGTCCTCCTCCCTCTCTGGCTCCTAGCTCTCCTCCCTGCCCAGACTTCTCCCTCTATATAGTCTCTCTGCCTGCCAGCCCTACCTATCCTTTCTCCTGCCTTGCTATTGACAGTTCAGCTCTTTATTAGACCATCAGGTGTTTTACACAGGCACAGCAACACAGCTTCACAGACTTAAACAAATGCAACATAAACAAAAGTAACACACCTTAAATAATATTCTACTACAAGGAATGGTCCCAACCACTTTGGGTGGGGCCATGCCTTGGCTGAAGTTCCTTGTTTCTATAAGAAAGCAGTCTGAGCAAGCCATAAGAAACAAGCCAGTAAGCAGCATTCCTCCATGGCCTCTGCATCAGCTCCTGCCTCCAGGTTCCTGCCCTGTTTGAGTTCCTGTCCTGACTTCCTTTGATGAACAGTGATATAGAAGTGTAAGCCAAATGAACTCCAACTTGCTTTGGTCATGGTGTTTAATCACAGCAATAGTAACCCTAACTAGAGTAAACACCCCGATAATTTACTGCAAAGCTTAATCAATAAATGACATACAGTGCTAACTACATGAGACTGTGCGACAATCCCAGGCCACCAGTTCAAACAGACAACTGCAAACTGTGTGGTATGTCTGAAAACTGAAATAACCATTAAAATGAACTTCAACTCTACACATTATCAGGAATAAAATCAAAATTCATTCTTACCTTGTTTCAAACTTAACAAATATTCAGAAATTATACCTAATGTTATTTACTCCAATAAAAAAAAAAAAAAACATAGAAAAACAGACTGAAATGTACAAAAAAATTAGCAACAGTTATCTCTAAACTATGGACCCAAAACAAGTGAAGCCGGCAAAGCAGCTCATCAAATGACAGCATTTACCAAGCAAACCTGCTGAGCTGAGCTCACCGGGAAACACTCATTATCAGTGACTGGTTTGTGTACCTGCTCTATACCTACAGGATACCAAGGTCGCACGAAAATTCTCAGGCCTTTGTTCCTGACCCTTTGGGCCATGACTGGAGAGGTTTGCCCTGAAGACCCTGCATTGCTGAACAGCTGGCAATGCTCACCCAAGACTAATGAGCAGCTCTTTATCACACAGGTCCACTCTCCTCTCAGATATGCATACATACTGTAGAGTTCAATTAGGACTGTTCTGGCCAGTCCGAATTGTGAACAACCTGTGAAGGGGTCTCACTGAACTTCTGTCTCCATGAGGCATGCCTGTGAGGGGCTTCCTTAGCTGAGTTCCTTGAGGTGGGAAGACCCACCGAAATGTGGGTTTCAGGGGCTGGTCCCTGGACTGACTGAAAGCAAGGAAGCTGAGCACAGGCATTTATCCATGGCATTCTGCTCCTGGCCATGATGCAATGTTCTGTCTGGCCCCCATTATAATGGGCTGTAACCTAACTGAGCCAGAGCATCCTTTCTCCAGGAAGCTGCTTCTGTAAGGGGGTTTTATCACAGCTACAGGAAAAGAAACATAGCTAAAGACTATCACAACTTGGTGATAATTATGCAAAAATCAACACAAAGACAAAAATTCCATGTTTTCTCTCATTTGGGGGGGGGGTCCTAGGTTTTACAGATACATAAAATCATGTACTTAAAAGTTACTTCAAAGTAGAAGCCAACTGGGGAACACAGAAAACTGTCGCGAGTGGTCAGAAAGGGGCAGCCGGGTTGGGGGGGGGGCGGGTAATTCACACAAATGCCCAGCTCTCTGTCTGTTATTTAAAAAGCTTTTTAGCCAGTCATGATGGTGTATTACTTTAATCCCAGCACTCAGGAAGCAAAGACAGATGGATCTCTCTAAGTTCAAGGCCAGCCTCATCTATATCAGGAGTTCAGGCCAGTCAGAGCTACAAAATGAGACCCTGTCTCAGAAAAAAAATACACTTTTTATAATGGACGAACTCATGCAGACGCCAAGTATTTTCCTACAGCACTTCCCTTGGGACCTGGCACCTTCTCCTGCCTTTTTGTCCCATCACTACATGAAAATGACAGTCACATCAACAAACTTGTCTCAACAAGACAAACCCATCTCTGATAATGCTGCTGAAACAGCGGTGTGCAGAACTAAAACAGGACAAGAAAAGGCCTGAGGCTGGATATCAGACACAAAGGATCCGAACTAAGTTACCTGTCTCTACTTCAGCTATGTCAATGAAATGATCCTCGGAGGCCGACGCCAGCATTTTTCCATCGTGGCTAAAACTGAGGGTCCTCACAGGCCAATCCAATCTGTGAGAGGACGGACAGAAACATCAGAATTACCCCAAAGGAGGAAGGCACAGCTAATTTATATAATAGGAAAAGTCTGACGGAGTTACTTACCTGGAAAAGCACCGCACACACACTAATTCATCGACATCCCAGAGGCTGACCAAAGCATCTGCACTTCCTGTGGCAAAGTATTTCCCCATGGGGTCAAACTTGATACAAATGCAGTTAGAAGGATGGGCATTGATGGACTGCACAGGCTTTAGTTCAGGGTAGCTGAGAAACAAGACACATAGCCATCAATGTGCAGAAAAGGACTGTGGCACTAAACACTGAAAGAAAAAACAACAACAAAAACTTCCCTACTTGAGAAAAAAGTCTGCTCAAGCTACTAGAAGAGAACAACACAGGCCTAGGTAAATGAACCTATACCATTTAACACCAAGATAAACCAGTGAGGTTACTGGACTTCACAGAAAATTACATCATCTCTGGACTTTCTGAGAGCCCCACTTTGTAGCAAAACAAAGGAGTGGCACCACCTACGACACTGGAGCAGGGAAATGAGGCAGGACTATTACACCTAGCAAAACTATCCAACACAAGACATACAGCAGAGTAGAGTACCTACAAGTTTACAAATTTATAACTCCTCCAATGTCCACAGCCAACATGATGAATTTTCTTTGGTTTGGTTTAACCTGGGATTCCCAGCAAACTTCTACCTCTCCACCACAGCATCTGTGCCCTCTCCCTGCATTACTCACTGGCACAGCAGTAAGCATAGACTCTCATGGACCTGAATTTTAGTACCACATTTTCATTTACTTATAGAACAAATATCCACTGAGATCCCACTATTAAGATAGGCATTAGAGCCGGGCGGTGGTGGCGCACGCCTTTAATCCCAGCACTCGGGAGGCAGAGCCAGGCGGATCTCTGTGAGTTCGAGGCCAGCCTGGACTACCAAGTGAGTTCCAGGAAAGGCGCAAAGCTACACAGAGAAACCCTGTCTCGAAAAACCAAAAAAAAGAAAAAAAGAAAAAAAAGAAAAAAAGAAAAAAGATAGGCATTAGCTGGGCGGTGGTGGCGCACGCCTTTAATCCCAGCACTCGGGAGGCAAAGCCAGGCGGATCTCTGTGAGTTTGAGGCCAGCCTGGTCTACAGAGCAAGATCCAGGCCAGGCACCAAAACTACACAGAAAAACCTTGTGTCTGTCTCAAAAAAAAAAAAAAAAAAAAAAAAAAAAAAAAAAAAAAAAAAAAAAAAAAAAAACCAAAAAAAAAAAAAAAAAAAAGATAGGCATTAGCAATTCAATGGAAAACAAGACAAGAACGGTCCTTTCTACCATGACATTGCTAGTATAATGAGAGATAGAGATAAATAAAATACACATTATGATACAGAATTAAATGCTTCCACAGGAAGTGCATAAGATACACTAAAACCATAACACAGTAATGCTGTGGATATCGTTCTGTATAAATAAAACACTGATTGGCCAGTGGCCAGGCAGGAAGTATAGGCAGGACAAGCAGAGAAGAGAATTCTGGGAAGCGCAAAGCTGAGGAAAGGAGACACTGCCAGCCACTGCCATGACAAGCAACGTGTAAAGACGCCGGTAAATCATGAGCCGCGTGGCAAGATACAGATTTATAGAAATGGGTTAATTTAAGATATAAGAACAGTTAGCAAGAAGCCTGCCACGGCCATACAGTTTTTAAATAATATAAGCATCTGTGTGTTTATTTTATAAGTGGGCTGTCGGACTGCCGGGGCTCAGCGGGACCCAGAGAAAAAATCGCAGCTACACAGTAATCTTCAAATGCATAGAACACATACTGAGAGAAGCCCTATGAATGTCATCAGTGTTAGAAAACCTTTGGATGACACAGTCATCTTCAAAAGCATAAACAAACACATACTGGAGAGAAAAACCTATGAATATAATCAGTATGGTAAAGCCTTTGCATGTATCAGTAATCTTCAAAATCATGAGAAAAAAATCTTACTGCAGAGAAACTCTATAAATACAGTCAGTGTGTCAAGTTTTGCACAGTATACAGGAGTAAAACTTTTTGTTTGCAATCAACCTGTTAAAGCCTTTCCATATTACAATAGTCTATCTGAAAAAGATACTGAGGGCATCTTATTATAAAGTAGTTGGTAAGATCTTTAGCCAAAACACTTATAATCAGTTATAGAAGAGTATGTATCCTGTAGAAAAATATTTGACAGTGTCAACAAACTATTCAAGCATTATGATGTCTGTTTTTATATTGTTTGCACCAGCAAACTCATTGAAGAAATGAATTTATGAATTTTGAAGGCTTATGTATATATAGGGTAGATGGGCCAGATGCAGAAACACACTCTGGCCCTGCAAATAGCCAGTGAAAGATACACCCTTTGCCCCTAAAATCAGAGGAAAAAACACACCCTGGCCCTGAAACTGTGGAAGGGCCCCAAAACAGCTTGACCACACAACAGCCATGATAGGCTTAAAGGCCTAGACACCACTCTGTGACAGGCTTACTGGCAGGCAACACCCAGATCCAGGAAAAGCCTTAAGCTGATACCACCCAGGGATCCACCCAGGGATGAGGTAGTACCTGACATCCTAAACATTCCAACCATTATTAGGTGGCCAGATGTCCTTGAGTCTAGCACATACCTATTTTTGTTTACAGATGCCCCTAGACAATTGTCAGCCAATCAGGGTCCTGAACCCTAGAAATCCCCTCACCCCAACCTCTGCTATGATAAAAACCCCACCCTACCTGAGCTCAGGGCTCTCTGCTCTCACCGCTGCATCAGACAGAGAGACCAAGCTCGCAGCTTGAAGAGAATAAAGGTTCTTTGCTTTTACATGCAGGATTCGGTCTCAGTGGTGGTCTTTTGGGGGTCCCCATGATCTGGGCATAACAAAACCAGACCCAAAATGTTAAAAGGGGCCTGTGAAAGAAACACACTTTGGACCTGAAACCAAAGCCAAAGAAGCACACTCTACCCTTGACCAACTAAGAACAAAACCAACCAATCCCTGAGCTTGAAACCATCCAATTCCTGAGCATGAAATCTTTGAGGTTGTTCAAGCCCTGTGTCTGTTCAGGTGGCAGCTGCCTTTTTCCACCCTGGAAGAGGCAGCCGCTCTCCTGGATTCCTTCCTCCCAAATAAATCTTTTGAATGTGTTGTAAGTGGAGACCTTTCATGGAAGCAGATCAGAAACTCACTATTTGATTGGATCAGAGAAGCAATAGCCATCTCAGCTGGCAAACTCTCAAAGAAGTGGAGCATAACTAACAGCTTTTCATCAGAGACTGTTACATTTCTGTAGCAATTTCCCCTTTACTTGAATGAAGCATAGAAGTAACAATTTGGGCTGGAGCAGAGAAGAAATGACATCTCTGCTGGAAACTCTCTAGTAGAGCAGAGCAGAGAAATATTTGACAGGTCTACTAAGGAGCTCCCTCAGGGGAGTAGAGCAGAGCAGGAATGGACCTCTCTCCTGGAAACTCTCTTAGCAGAGTGGTCCAGAGCCCAGCTGTAACAGCTCCCTTTTGGAGAAGAGCAGGATTATGACATTCTGTTGGGAGACAATTCCCCACTGAAATCCAGCTTCAGGTATAGCCTGACTTCTCAATAGCCAGGGTACCTTTTGCCTCTCAGCTGTAGGTATCCATGATATCTTCCCTTCACAGCTGAAGGTATAGCCTGACTTCCAACAGTCAGTGTTCCTTTCTCTTCAGAGAAAGTATCTGAAGTATCTAGGATGGCTGACTTCTGATAGTCAGGTTACCTTTGCCTCTAGAGCTGTAAAACTTGCACTATGAATTTACATGATAATGAAACCCTTTTAGATTTGGTACTTCTCTTATATTGTATGAAATAACTAATTCAGGTGTAAAACTTTATGGATTTTTGTTAGTTCTTTTTCTGTTGTTGTGATATAATGTCTAAGTCAACTAATAAAGGAGTTTAATTTGAAAAAAAAAAAAAAGCTACACTAAAACCTTCCTCTAATCTTGGAGAGAAAGCAGGACAGAAGGATAAGGATGGAAGTTTATAAAGATGTTCCAGGACAACCAGGGTTGTTACAGAGAAACCTGTCTCAAAAAAAAAAAAAAAAAGGATGGAAGTGACTTTGCTAGAGGGAAAAAGATATTTAAGCTGAAATGTTAAGGGAGAGAATTAGTCACACTAAGGTACATTAAGTCCCTGGGCCAGCTACCTGATAATTAAGTGAACCTTTACAAACCTCAGTTCCTTGTCAGTCAAATAGGACGATACAAGCAATATCAGTAAGAACTTAATAAAATCCAGAATATCTGGCTCAAATGTGCCTAAAAGAAACTAGGATTTTAAACACTCATCAAGTCTTTTAGGATAGGCTCACCCCTAACTCATCTCTGTACCTGACACAGCACCCAGTGCAGAGGTATGACAGTCCCCCAAGCCAGAACCCCCTCACCTGAGAATGTTGATACAACCATTGCCGTTGGTCAGGAAAAACATGTTATTGTCGTTATTCCAGGAGATTTCATTGACCTCAAACTTGAACTGCTCTTCTGCTTTGGAACGGTGTGTCTTGGCATCAATAAAGGTCACAACATCATCCTTGTTGCCCACAGCAATGGTCTGCCCATCGGGACTCCAGCAGATATTAATGTTCTCCCCTAGGAACCCAGATACAATCCATCAGCAACACAATCCTTGCCCATCTTCCTCCAGAAGCTTACTCTGCTATCCTAGAAGGAAGAGCAGAGCTATCTTCAGCGCTCACATCACCAGGTCAGCGGAAGGAAGCTACCACTGGCCAAGTGGTAACTGTGAATCTAACATTTGTCAAAAGCATCACACCATTCCACTCCCAGGTACCAGTCTTGTCATCAAAGTCCAGGAGTTGTCCACACGGAACACATTAAGTTAAAATGTTCAACTTCATTGAATCAAAAATGCCATTTTTTTCACACTTTATTATCTATATTGCATTTTAAAATCTATCAGAATGTGTGCCAAGAATTTTGCTGTGGGACCTGGGTGGTGGTGTCACACACCTTTAATACCAGAACTCAGGAGGCAGAGGCAGACAGCCAGGTATATAGATCAGTTCTAGGACATCCAGGGCTACACAGACAAACCTTGTCTCAAAAAACAAAAACAAAATAAAACAAAACAAAAATGCTTTGTTTGGGAAAAAAAAAAAAAAAGAATTTTGTTGTGGGGCTGGAGCATCTGGCTCGGCACTTAAGAGAACTGCTATTTTCCAGGGACCCAAGTTAAATTCCCAGCACCCACAGTTCACAACCAGCTGTAAATACATTTATAGGGGATGAGACGCCTTCTTCTGGCACCTGCACACATGTAGCACACTCACATGAAAATAAAAAAATCTAAAAACACACACACAAAAAAAAATGCTTCTTTAAAAAAATTTTAAATGACCTCTTTGGGTCAATTAATATAGACTCAAGATTTACAGGATACTATATGACATGAACACAGCATTTAAAAGTAATGCACAACTTTCCAATCATTTATTTGAAACCAAGATCATCTGAGTTTCCACCATTCTAACTTCCCAGAATCTCCCAAATTCCCCATGCCTTCGTACATTGTTCTCTGTACTGTTTGCATTGCTCTCCCACTCACTCTGACCAACAGTTAGTATAGCTGATGAAAAAAGTTCTCAGATTCTATTCTTCCTTGTCTCCTCCAGGCAGTCATATATACCCCATCCGGATAACCCATGATGACAGAGCACCAGTTACAAAGAAGGCAATACATGGTTTCCACCCTAGGCTCCTCTCTCGGAAGTTACCTTTAGTGTTCACAGTGGCAATGCACTTTGTTGTCCTCACATCCCAGATGCGGATGGTTTTATCTCCAGATGCTGTGACAAAGAGATCAGGGTTGCTTGGGTGCCAACAGAGCTGATCCACACTATCTCCATGTCCCCGGTAGTTGTTTTCTTTGACCTTAAAAGAACAGAATCCAGATGCCACTTCACACAGATGTACATGCCTGCACATGCAACTTAACTTTCATCCAAACAGTGGTACCTTGGAACCAGTAAAGATCTGGATAATTCAAAAAAATCCAGTCCCTTCCAAAACTTCAACCCCTGTGAAGTGCTGAGCTTCGACACTGGCTCTCCCTCTTGCCCTTCCTGTCCTCCCTTCTTTTCTCTCTTACCACCACCATCATCCCAACCCACCTGTCCATTCCCAAAGGATGTGTTATCATTTTCAAATAAAACCTTCTCGACACCCTAGGGACTCGACCACTCCATCAGTTCCTAGCCACTCCCCGCCAGGGCTTCCTTCCCAGGGCTCTTCTAGACCCTCGCCACTCCCGGCCACCTGATTCAATCCTCCCTGGCCACTCCTCATACAGCCACTATGTTCACACTCCGCTCTCCTCCCAACTCACCCCACTCTTCGCACTCACCCCAACTCTTCCAGTCCCACCACATCCTTCCTCATCACCACCAACACAGGTCACGCTCCTATCCATTCCTCCGCCCCGTCCTGCATTCTCTTCCTCCACACACAGCCCTCTTCCCGGCCAGGGCTAAGCCCCACAAGCTCACCAGCCGGTCCTTCTCCAGCAAGAACACGCTGGCAGTCTTGTCGAAGGACCCCGAGGCCAAGCGACGGCCGTCACAGCTCCAAGCCACCGAGTGCACCTTGGCACTGTGCGCCGGGAACTCGCGCGTCTTGCTGTGGCCTCGGAACAGCTCCTGCATCCCGAGCACGTAGCGAGACGGGCCACTGCTCACAGAGCACCAGGACGCCATCGAGCCGGGGCCGCTTTGGCCGACCGGCGGGGGCCCCAGGATCGACGTGGGCACCGCCATACCTCCCTCACTAAGGACCGCGCACCGGCAGCTAGACACAACCGGGCCTGGCGCCGCTGCCCAGCGCATGCGCCGAGAAGAGCGTCGCGTCACTCCGCGCAGGCGCGTTTCACTTGCCCCGGGACTGCAAATCCCGGCATGCAACGCGTATCCACCTTTACCTTTTGAAATAGCAATGATTCGTCCCTAACTTTGCTTCGTTTTCGAAGAGTTCAACTTAATGGTCTTCTTACCTGTTTCTTGATAGTCTCGCTTATACGAAGAAGAGAAGCAAGATAAAGCCTCCAGTTTACCTACCAGTAAAATATCTTTCTCCCTCCCCCCCCCCCCGCCCCCAGGCAGGGTTTCTCTGTAGTTTTAGTGCCTGTCCCCGAACTCACTCTGTAGACCAGGCTGTCCTCGAATCCCGTGCTGGGATTGAAGGCATGCAACCCCTAGGGCCAGGCTAAAAATATCCCTTTTATAAAGTTGTTTTTTCACTACAAGGCCCTCATCCCTCCCTTAAAGCAGAAGGCCTTAGCAAGATCTCACTCCAGGAGAAAGGTTAGCTGTTTGTAAAAGTAAGGAGTTGATAAGAGGTGTGGGTTTGTTGGTTTGGATTGGGCAAGGTTGCTTGGTTGATTGGGGGTTTGGTTTGTTTGGGGGTTTTGCTTTGTCTTTTGATCTTGGTTTTTAGGATATATTGCATATGTATGATAGTAAATTTTAAAAGAAGTGAAAAGTAAAATGACCATTTGTGTATGCCACACACATCTCAGATCCTCCCACTTCTTATGTCTCTCTTAAAACAAAAGATTTCCAGCTGGAAAAGAATCAATGATGAACGTCCAGGATGAGCTGAAGAGCTGCGAGCTCGGCCACGGGAATATATATTATATGCTTTACATATAATATATACTTGTGTGAAAATGTCCCTACGAAGCCAGCTGTGGTGTCGCAGGCTTGTAATTCCAGCACTGGGGAGACAGGCGGGCAGACCCCTAGGACTCACTGGCCAGCTGGCCAGCTTCCATGGCAAGTTCTACGTAAGTGAGAGACCCTGTCTCCAAACCACAAAATAATGAATGGTGCCTGAGGAATGACCTCCAAGATTGTTCTCTGCCCTCCACATACACACAGATGCACACACCCACCCACAAAGGCACAAACATGTACACACACATACACATGATTTTTTTTTTTTTTTTTTTTTGGTGGTGGTGGTGGGGAGGTTCAAGGGTTCAAGACAAGGTTTCTCTGTGTAGCTTTGGAGCCTGTCCTGGAACTCACTGTGTAGACCAGGCTGATCTTGAACTCAGAGATCCACCTGTCTCTTGCTCCCCAGTGCTGGGATTAAAGGTGTGCTCCACCACACTCAGCTAATGATATTTTTAATTAATGTTTTCAAAAGAAAACAGAGGAGGTGGAGAGACGGCTCAGTGGTTAAGAGCACTTGCTGCTCTAGCGGAGGACGGGTGTTCCCTCCCCAGCACCCAGGAAGTGGCCCACAACTCTGGGTAACTCTAATTCCAGGAGAGCCAGCTCCCTCTTCTGAACTCTGCTGGCACCAGGCCCCATGCAGAACCCTCATTCACACAGTATTAAATCTTTTTTTTCTTAAATGGGGGCGGGGGAGGGGGGACCTTGCAGAGACATAGTGGAGCATCTTAGCAAGATTTATAACATGATGCAGCATTCCTTACATAATTTGCTCTTTCAGAACGATATACAGACTTATAATTGTTTGGGGATTGCTTCTTGCCTTTCTTTTTTTTTGAGAAAGGGACTTGAAATGTAGTTCAGGTTGGCTCGAGGACTCACCTGATAGCCCAAACTGGCCTTGAACTTATGATGGCCTTTCTCTCCCAGTGCTGGGATTCTGAGCATGTATTACCACTCCAAGCCAGGAGAGTGTTTCCTGTTGGGATATACAGATGTCTCTTCTCCAAGGATGCAGTTTTAAATTATAGAGATGTATAATCGTTTTTTCTTTTGTTTCCTTAATTAATTTATTCTCACAACAATGTTGCAGTGAATATCTCTATACAAACTTCATTGTGAACTGTACACTTTATTCAGGTAATTTTGCCAAAACAGTTAATGAGGAGTTTCTAAGAGTCTGCATCCAGCCATGTAAGGAAATATAGGTCCTAAATAAGAAGTGAAGCCACATGTGCATGTAGCTCCTGTTTCCACAGTCTCTTTAGATCTCATTGCAATCAGAAATTTTTGGAAACTGCAAAGATTTTAGTACCAATGAAATCACTGAAGTCTTTGGGTAGAAAACTATTTGCTATCTAATTTTCCCTCCTTACCTTTCTTTTTCAAATATTTCATATGGTTACATATTTTTACATCCACTGAAGACTTATACTTCCTTGTTTTAGAGGCCACATGGACTACCCCAAGTCACAGGACTAACGTATGACAGAGCAAAGTATTCTTTTGTTTGTTTGTTTGTTTGTTTGTTTTTTCAAGAAAGGGTTTCTCTGTGTAGCCCTGGCTGTCCTGGAACTTGCTCTGTAGACCAGACTGGCCTCAAACTCACAAAGATCCGCCTGTTTCTGCCTCCCAAGGGCTGGGATTAAAGATTAAACCACCACTGCCTGACTGAGGTGTTTCCTTCCTTGACTGTTGGAGAAATAACAGTCTGCTTAAACAACAGTGGGTATTGTGAAACAAGTTAGCAGGAATATAATTATAGGCATATTGTGCACAAGTGAAAAACCATCCTTCAGAAAAAGGAATATGGACATCCATAGAGGATAGCTTCAGTATGGGAACAATTTGTCCCTTGGGGATGTGATGGGGGTGTATTTTAGCATGTATCATTTGGATGTACTGTAACACAGGGAGGTTGGAGTTCTGTTCCATCTACTACTTTGTCTTTAGAAGCCCTTCCCTGACTGTAAAAATCTTTATAACTGATAGGCTTAAGGATACCTGTTGAAGGGTTAACCTGATAAGTTAGCAATATCCTAGACAGGTTTACAAACAGGAACAAGACATGCACCTAACATACTTTCAGCATTTAACTCCTCTTTTAGACAAAAGTCAGTAGTATTTACAATATGAGCTAATTTTACCCAGGTGTTAGAACGTAAATGCTATCATAGGGGATTTATGCTGTGGAATAATCCTCTTGTACACTGTAAAGATTTGTCACTCAGATTGGTTTAATAAAACACTGAATGGCCAGTAGCCAGGCAGGAAGTATAGGTGGGGCAACCAAACTAAGAATGCTGGGAAGAGGAAGGACAGAATCAGGAGTAGCCGGCCAGATGCAGAGGAAGCAAGATGAATGTTGCACTGAGAAAAAGTACCAAGCCAGCCACGTGGCTAAACATAGACAAGAATTATGAGTTAATTTAAGCCTACACACTAGTTAGTAATAAGCCTGAGCCACCGGCCAAGGGTTTATAAGTAATGTTAAGGCTCCGAGTCAATTATTTGGGAAGCAGCTGCTGGGTATTTGGGAGTTGCTGGCCGGACACAGAAACTTCCTGCTACAGATTTATTTCTATTTATTTCTGTCCTAGAATTGGGTAGCTGTCTTAGCGTTTCTATTGCTGCAATGAAGCACTATGGGACCAAAAAGCAAGTTGTGGGGGAAAGGGTTTATTAGGCTTACACTTCACTATCACTGTTCATCAAAGGAAGTCAGGACAGGAACTCAACCAGCAAGGACCTGGAGAAAGGAGCTGATGCAGAGGCCATGGAGGGGTGTTGCTTACTAGCTTGCTTCCGGTGGCTTGCTCAGCCTGCTTTCATACAGAACCCAGCCCAGGGATGGAAACACCACAGTGGACCAAACTGATAGGCTAAAGTCATCTGAGAGGAGGGAACATCAATTAAGAAAATGCCCCCATAAGATCAAGCTATAGTGGCAGTGGTGGCGCACGCCTTTAATCCCCAACACTTGGGAGGCAGAGGCAGATGGAGCTCTGTGAGTTCAAGGCCAGCCTGGTCTACAGAGCTAGTTCCAGGACAGCCAGGGATACAGAGAAAATCTGTCTTGACCAAAAAGAAAAAAGAAAAAAAGAAAAAGAAAAAGAAAACCAGGCTGTAGGCAAGCTCTGTAGGGCATTTTATTTTCTTAATTAGTGATTGATGGGGAGGACCACAGGTTATGGTCCAGTGAGGTGCAAGTGTCTTTGGATAATGTCTCTTAACCCAGACGAAGAAAGTGTCATTGGCCTGATGAGGATGGGGAGTCAGTTCCGCCTCCTGGCTGAGTCTCTCAGTTTGGAGGACATGCTGAAGAACCAGTTTTGGGGCCTTGACGGACTGCAGAAGGGAATGGTTAGAGATTTCAGCTGAGTATACATCTTCTAGTCTAGGTAGGAGAAGATGTCAGCCAAACAGAATTTCAAATGGGAGAGAAAAAAACCCTCTATCCCTCTGTAAGAAGTACATGGAGCCTGTAAGAGGAAAGGGAAAGGGGCTCACTCATCTTCACTGTCTTGTTAATTTGGTTAGGGTTTCCTTCAGGGTTTGGTTCATCCTTTCTACCTGTGCTGAGCTTTGAGGTCTGTAGGCATAGTGTGATTTACATGTTATTCCTAAGACCTTAGCCAGTAATTGAGAGAGTCGAGCTATGAAAGCCAGGCCATTGTGGGACCCCATTACCATTGGGGTGCCAAATGGTGGAACTAATTCCTGTAACAGCTTCTTTACCATTTCCAATCTGATAGGAAAAGCCTCTACCCAACCCTAGACAGTATCTGAAAATACAAGGAGATACTTGTGGAATATTAAAGATGTGTTACGTTTGTTTATGCTGTGGAACATTAGTTTAATGATGCAAAGATGTGTTGCATTCTTTTATGTTACATTTGTTTAACTCTGTGAAGCTGTGTTACTGTACCTGTCTAAAACACCTGATTGGTCTAATAAAGAGATGAATGGCCAATAATGAGGCAAGAGAAAGGACAGGTGGGGCTGGCAGGCAGAGAGAATAAATAGGAGAAATCTAGGAAGAAAGATAAAGGAGCAAGAAAAGAAGGGGTCAGACACTCAGCCAGACATGGAATAAGAAGGAAAGAAAAGATACACAGAAATAAAGGTAAAAGCCCAGAGGCAAAAAGTAGATGGGATAATTTAAGAAAAGCTGGCAAGAAACAAGCCAAGCTAAGACCAGGCATTTATAATTAAGAATAAGCCTCTGTGTGGGTTTATTTAGGAGCTGGGGGTGGGCCCCCAAGAGTAAAGAGCCAAAAGAGTAAAAAACAACAAAACTCATTTTGGCCTGGTTTTTACCCCAGTGAAGTCCACCTACCAGTGTTCTCCAGGCATTTCACCTAACTGCTTTGGGTACCATGGATGGTGGCCCAGTAGTTGTTTGGGCACAACTTATACACTATCTAATAACGGTGTATAGGCCTATAATAGTTAGTGCTGGGTTTATGGATTGGGGGAGGGGTGTTCCAGGGTGACTGGCAAGGACTAAAATGTTAGCCTCCCTGAGTCTCTGATGTGAATTGCAATTCTTTTTTGCTTCCATCCCCATGGGATATTGTTTCACTCTGGCTGGGGTCGTGGTAGTAGTAGCTGAACTACTATTGGGGCTTGGTGTTTTGCCAGTCCAGGTGGATTTGTTTCTGCCCACACCCCTGGAATCACTGCTTGTAATTCAGCCAGATGTGAGATGGATCCCAGTTGGGCTAGGGATGGCTTGGACAGTAACTGGTATTCTTCTACAATTGGACAAGTAACTAGAATTCTAGTGGGGAGTTTGTAATCTAATTCTGACCTGTCTTCCTTAAAAGTGATAGTGGCCTGTGGTTTGTGTAATGGTCTTGGCCTAGTATGGGGTAGAGGCAGCCTGGCATAACCAGGGACATATGGGTGATGATGCCCCTTCCAAAGTCCACAACCTGATTACTTGTCCCAGAGTAATCCCTGGATCCCCCATCATACCTTGGACTTTTATTTAATTTCTTTTTGCCAGGGGTCCATTGGGTTTCTTTAGGACTGAAAAAGTTGTCCCAGTGTCTACCAGGAAGTTGACTGACTGGCTTGCCCTCCCCCACTCTCAAGGTAAGCCTGGGCTCATGGGGGCTTAATGGGACCAAGCCCTGGCTCCATCAGGCGGTTTCAGTTTCTAATTGGAGCATTTTTGCCTCAGGCGTGCCAACCCCCTGGTTTGGACATCATTTTTCCAATACCCTTCTTTTTTACAATATGCACATTGATTTAGGGGTAGAGTGGGTCTGAGTGGTCTTGATGCATCTCCAGTCACCTCTGTAGGCTTCATTCATTACCTTCTGGCAGATCATCCATCCCTGTTTCTCAGCAGTAGCACGGTTGCCTTTGCTAACCCTCTGCCTGCCTATCTTCTGGCAAGTTTCTGGTATTAAAGACTCTACTCTGACAACACCTCTCCTTCAAATCCCCCTAGCCTCTGGAGAGTGCTTCTTCTACCAGGGCTGACAGGTGACAGAGGCTGTGATAGCCATGCAGCTGTTCTCTGGGGCTTCCAGATCAGTGGGTGTACAGGTCGGGAGGCATCCAGCAGCGATTGTAGAAACTTGGCAGAGGTTCCAGCCTTGCAAAACTTCACTTACCTTAGAAAATCTGTCACCTTCTGTGCAGCATCCCAGAGACCCTCAGAGTATGGCGACAGGTATCAAGAGCCCCCTTACCTTGTTCAGTGATGGGGTCCCATTGAGATCTGGTAGACTTGTTTATCCAAGATAATGTTAGCACCTAAGTTTTTCCTAAGAATGCCTTCATGAGATGGTGTTAAGGGCAGTTCAGTGGCCCACTACAGTTGTGATGCTGAAGCCTGGATTTTGTTGAAGACCCTAAGATACTGGAGATGCCAGAGCTGTGGGATATCTGAAGACAGGGTATGGAGCCAGCCCAAGAGAGAAAAGTGTGTTGCAGTGAGCAAAGCTGGAAGGAGCTGGAGGTCTTGAGAGCCCTTTAATATGGGACGTGGAGATGCCGAGTTTGGAGTTTGCACTGCTGGGTTTTGGTCTTGTTTGACCCAGTATTTCCTAACTACCCCCCTTTGCTTCCTTTGGGAATGGTAATATATATTCTGTGCCATTCCATATTTAAGGTATGTGCCTTACAGTAGAGACTGCCTTGAGTCTCAGAAGAGACCCTGGACTTTTAAACGGTTTGAGACTGATAGACTATGGGGACTCTTGAAGTTGGACTCAATGCATTTTGCTTTGTGATGTAACTACAAGCCTATGGGGAGCAGGGAGTAGAATATGGTGGTTTGAATAGGAATGGCCCCCAAAGGCTCATATCTTTGAATATTTGGTTTCCTGTTGGTGGATGCGGCCTTGTTGGACGAGGTGTGTCACTGGGAGTGGGCTTTGGAGTTTTAAAAGCCTGGGCCAAGCCCATCTTCCCCCCTCCTCTCCTTGCTGCTTTCAGATCAGGCTGTGAGCTCGCAGCCACTGTCCAGCGCCATGCCTGCCTGCCTGCCTGCTTCCATGTCCCCACCATGATGGTTAGGGACTAACCCTCTGAAACTGTAAGCAAGCACCAATTAACTGTTTTCTTCCATAAGTTTCTTGGCTATGGTGTCTCTCCATAGCACTAGAACAGTAAATAAGACACAAACACTAAACGTTCATTTGTGAATCCCTTCCCACCCCACACCATCCTTACTAAAGCCTACACTGGACTATCTTCCATCTCTCCATTGCTCAGAAGGTGATGGGCCCAGGCCATAGTGAAAGCCCTTCCTAAGACAGCCAAGTTTACACAACACCAGCACAGCACAGCATGTGCTATGATGCTACACCTGCAGGTGCTATACCTGTATGACTGAGAGAGCTTTTTACCAAACGTCAGTGATGTGCCAGGCACCTTAACACACCAACAAACTCTCCCCCAGTTACTCTGCTATTATTCACACTTCACAACCATGGGCTCAGTGGAAGAGCACTTGTCCAGTGTGTGTGAGGCTCTGGGTTTGATCTCCAGCAAAACGAAATTTTAAAAAATGTTTAAAAGAAAGAAAAATCATGAAGGTGAAGTAGCTTGTCCAGATTCCTCCAGAAAGAGAATTTGAGCCCAGGTCTCCACCTCTTCCTACTCACCCAGTACTCTACCAACCCAGGGCCTGGCACTGCCCCTTCCCTCCCCCTCCAGTCCCCTCACGCTCCCCTGACCATCTTCTCCACCACAGGACACCTGACTGTGCTGCCAGCTGCAGCGCCCTTCCTCCTGTGGCCTCTGCCGCACATGGGAACCCACTGTCCTCAAAACTTGCACTGAGACCTCCTCCCCGACACCCACCTCCTCCTAGGTACCCAGCTACCTGGAGCTTTGTTTGCCCTCCTCCCCACACTACCCACTGGCACACAGTTTTGAGTGACACTCTGTTTACTGCACACAGACCCATCATGGACCCAAACAGGATGCAAGCATGATAAAGTACCTCTACCATGTCACCATACCACCTGCTCTGCCTGGGTGTGATGGCTGAGCCTTCTCCATAGCACCTGCCCGAGTGATCAATGTGGCCCAACAAGCTGAAGGACAGGGAGGGACACGTGACAGGTCTCTGTAGCCAGCCCTGTGCTCTCCCTGGGAGCTGCCCCACCTCACTCCAGAGAAGGGATTTGATAAGCATGACCCTGTGCCAGGTGCTGCATGAGACACTGTACGTCACTTCCCTCTCCACACAGCCCAGGAAAAGGGGACTCATTAGCCCACAGCTTCGTGATCAGAGTGGTTCCGGTCCATCACTACTGGCAGGTTCCGAGTAAGAGGCGTCACTTGGACCGTGCAGTGCCAGGGGAGAAGAGGCAGGAGCTCTGCACGTAGGTATGCCGAGTCTGCAGTGCGCTCCAGTGTGTGTATCCCAGCTGCTCCCTGGTCTTTGAGACAGGGCGTGCCCTTCTACTGTGAGGGTTTTTTCCTTGCACAGAGGGTCAACATTCCATGACTAAAAGAATATGCCTCTGGCAATAGAATTTGCCTTTCAGACTGTTAGGCAACTCTAGGACAAACCTACCACTTTTATTTTTTTACTATTATAATTTTTTTGTAAAAAAAAATTTTTTTTTTGAGATAGGGTTTCTCTGTGTAGCTCTGGCTGTTCTGGAACTCACTCTGTAGACCAGGCTGGCCTCAAACGCAGAGATCCACCTGCCTCTACCTCCTGAGTGCTGGGATTAAAGGTACGAGCCACTACTGCTGGCTTCCCTAGCCACTTTTTAAACTGAGCCTATTTACACATCACATTACACGTCTGTCTCTTAGTAGACTCGCATGTGCCCACATTCTGGAGCTGGCCCTTCCTAATCCTCTCTGGTGTTTCCTAATCCACACCTCAGCCTGAAGAGAGCTTAATCTCCACAGGGCATGAATGCACCTACTGCAGTCAGGACTCCCTCCTGCATATTCCTATTCCTCCATACAGTGTCCTCAAGTAGGACCCATGCACCACAACTCTATCAGCTCAAAGGCTGGAGAGGGAATAGTCAGCACAAGGCACACATCCACCTGACTCGCTTCCCATTTGATGTGGTAAACGGCGTCCCCCTCACCCCACTTCACATGCTCCAGAGACACCTGCAAAACAACAACAAGGAACCAGTTTGTAGCAGAGGCCTGTTGTCCTTTGGGTTACACTATAATCTTAACTGTTTTTTAGAATGGTTTGTACTTGATTTGGATATTATTCTCCAAGCCATGTGTTGAAAACTTGGTACCCAGACAAAAAAAAGAAAGAAAGGAAGAAAGAAAGAAAGAAAGAAAGAAAGAAAGAAAGAAAGAAAGAAAGAAAGAAAGAAAGAAAGAAAGAAAGAAAGAAAGAAAGAAAAAAGAAAAAAGAAAAAGAAACACTTGATGCCCATATGGCAATGTTAAGAGATGGTGGACCCTAAAGATGAGTGTTGTTGTATATCAGGTGTGGGTGTTCACGTGGGTCCATGGAATCATAAGACACAGGCACTTCAAGGATGATTTTAGCCTTTCCCAGCTGCATTGTCTATGGACTGACCTGCTGCTGTAGCTTAGCAAAGGGCCCTTTTATTGTTATACAGTTCACAACTTTAGCAAGTCAATTCTGTAACCAAAACTTCTTATCTGAGCCCCTCAGAGGGACAATGCCAAATGCAAGTTCTCAGAAAAGGAATACCCCAGTGTCCTGGGTTGTCCCTAACTAAGTTTGCATGGGAAACTCAGATAAGACCTCAAACAGAAGGCAGCAATCACAAAAGGCAGATCAAAGCTAGGTGCTAACACTCTGTAATCAAACCAGCTGTAGCTCTGTGGGAATTCTCCCATCAGGTGTGGTGACACCAGCCTACAATTCCAGCCTTTAGGAGATAGAGGCAGGAGGGTCAGGGATTCAAGGTCATCCTATGCTACATAGTATGCTTGAGGCCAACCTGGGATATATGTCTCAATCCTTTTTCCCAATCAAAGTAAATAGTGGGCCTTTCAAAAGTAGGGCTTAAGCTGAGTAGAGTGACCAACATCAGTAATGCCAGGACTCAAGGAGGCCAAAAAAGGAAGACTCTGAGTTGGAGGCTACTCCAGGCTGTATAGTAAGACCCTGATGCAAAAATAAAAAGTGTGGCGTAGTAGAAGGTCACTGGGGGACAGCATCCTCAGAGGAAACTGATGTAGAACAGCCCTGGTCAGTTCTTCCAAGATTAAAGAACCCTAGTCCCTGAGTCCTTCCATGGCCTCTGGTCTCACCACGTGGTCCTTGTTGCAGTCACTGCCACCAAGTCGCCTCTGTGGTGGGACGATGCAGGCTCCTCAGTGGAGCTAGTGCTGTGCCATCAGTTTGGGCTCTCCATCCCAGAAGTGTGAGCTAAAACCCCTCTTCTTTATAAGTTACTGGGTAAGTCCGTTATTTCATTATGGCAATGGAAAATGTGCTGATACAGATCTCCCTATAATCAACAGTGATACAACTTGGCACAGCCTGGGCTTTGGCCATTCCAACTCAATTACTGGTCCATAACTGACCTCTCCCTCCTGCCTTGCTTACTACCTACCAGTTAAGAAGAACTGCACAATACATCTGCACTGATAAATTAATAATTGACCAAACTATGAAGCTGTGAGTCCCAATCACTACATGTCACTTCCCTGGCATAGCTTCAAAGCTCATTTTCCTGGCCCTTTCCAGTGGGGCTGACTGGCCAGTGAGCCCCATGGTCCTTTCTTCTCAGGTCTTGCTCCCCAGCACTTAGGTTACAGGCATGCCCTGCCATGCTCAGCTTTTATGTGGGTAGTAGGGATCCGAGCTCAAGTCCTCCCACCTGTGCAGTACGCCTGCTCACCCACTGAACCAATCCCCAGCCTGTGTTTATCTTCTTAAGAATTAGCTGACTTGTCTCTGTCTTCACTTTGCCACCAAGTTCAATTGGGTAAGTTTCACTGGGGTGACTTACAGAAGTATAGGTGAGGGGAACTCACAGGAGTGGGGGTGACCCAAAGGCAGCTGCATCACCAAGGCCCACCCCAGCAAGGTGACAGTTCACAAAGCTGAGAACCATGGAGCACACTGCACAGCCTTCTGAACACCCCTGTTCAAAGCCAAAGTTTCAATTCAAGCATTGAATTATGCCTTAAGTCTTGCAAAGGTCTCTCCAGTCTCTTCTCTGGTACCAGTTTGTGTATCTAGTCTAACTTGTATCTGTCTTGTCTTGATTTTGTCTTGTTTACATATATCCATTTTTGCAGCGTTTTATCCTACATTTCACAGATTTCTTGATTACTACAGGGATGATAGAATTATAGTCTTGAAACTATATTGATGAGATTTTTTTTCCCCATGCAAAAAAACAATATCGCCTTGGAATTCTCTCTCTCTCTCTCTCTCTCTCTCTCTCTCTCTCTCTCTCTCTCTCTCTCTCTCACTCTGTGTGTGTGTGTGTGTGGTGTAGAGAGAGAGATGATAGATAGATAGATAGATAGATAGATAGATAGATAGATAGATAGATAGATAGATGATAATTATGTGACTTTTGGTGGGATATGTAAAATTAATATCAGCTCCCTTTCTGGGATGGTACCAATGGCTGAAGGAATAATTTATTCAGGTTCATCTTGATGAATAAAGTGAACTTCTTATACTTATGGATGCTGAATAACTACAGCCACTTGTATTTTCCCAAAGTCACCAACCTTCTGCCTACCAAGCTGTTTTGTAACATTATATTAGTTAGGGTTCTCTAGAAGAACAAAATTTAAAGGTGTGTGTGTGTGTGTGTGTGTGTGTGTGTGTGTGTGTGTGTGTGTGTGTATGTGTGTGTGTGTGTGTAAAATTTATTAGAATGGCTTATAGGCTGTGGTCCACCTAGTCTAACAATGGCTATCTACTAACATAAAGTCCAAGAATCCAGTGATTTTGTTCAATCCATTAGGCTGAATGTCTCAGTACACTCCAGACTCCCAAAGAAGCAGGCTCTAATGCCAATGAAGGAATGGATTTTCTAGTAGAGCAAGAGCAAGTACAAAGACAGAACAAGCTTCCTCTTCTATGTCTTTTACATAGGCTGTAGAAGGTGTGGTCTAAACTAAAAGTGGCTCTTCCCACCTCAAAAAATCTGGATTAAAGGTGGCTCTTCCCACCCCAAAGATCCAGATTAGAAGTGGGTCTTCCTCAGAAAAATCTCTCACAAGGGTGTCCAGTCCTTTGGGTTTTAGTTAATTCTAGATGCAGTTAAGTTCACATCCGAGAATAGCCATCATAGCTTCCTCTGAGACATTGAATGGGAAGGTCAACAACTCAGAACAACTTCAGCAAGTCCTTGAAACTGACCAGATTTACTAGGCCCTTCCTGCTAGAGTAAGCAAAAAATCTGAGTGCCTCCCCGGAGGGCAGAGCTGAGCTGCAAAGAAGACTCTAGAAGAAGTGGAAACCACTTAGAAAGGACACTCTCCAACCTGTTGATCTGTCTGAAGGCTGTGCAGTGTGCTCTGCATTTCCCAGCTTTGTGAGCTGTCACCATGCTGGGGTGGGCCTTGGTGATACAGCTGCCTTTGAGTCACCCCCGCTCCTGTAAGTTCCCCTCACCCATTCTCCTGTAAGTCACTGGCTTACGAAATTCAACTTGGTGGTATCCATACTCTGGTTTGTCAAGGGATCCCTCTCTGAGGTGAGTAAACGTGTGTTGAGTCTCCCCAGGAAGATTTTTGTCACATAGCACAAGCTCCTATTTACATGGCTCTACATCTACAACAGACTTGACGTAAACCTGGTTTTAGAGCACGCCTAGTGTTACAGCAGCCAGGGTGACAACAGCTCAGATATCAGAGCACAGACACAACTGGCCTTTACCCTACTGGGTACCATGCTGCTCATCAACACAGACCAAACATGACTTACAACAAAGGAATGGTACAGAGACAAATAAACAGTAGCTTGCTGCAAGGTGAATTACTCTGGTAAGATTTGGAAGTTCTCTCCCTCTCTCCTCTCTCCCTCTCTCCTCCTCTCCTCCCTCCCCCCCCCCTCTCTCTCTCTTTCTCTTTCTCTCTCTCTCTCTCTCTCCTGTGTATGTGCATACATACCACAGTTATATATTTTTTTTGTTTGTTGAGACAGGTTCTCTCTACATAGCTCTGGCTGTCCTGGAACTCATCATGTAGACCAAACTGGCTTTGAATTCACAGAGATCCACCTGCCTCTGCCTCCCCCCAGTACTGTGATTTTTAAAAGTGTATACAACCACACCTGGCCACACAATTATATACATTTTAACTATTAAAATCTCCACCATCTTGGGGCTGGAGAGATGCCTCAAAGGTTAAGAGCATTGGCTGCTCTTACAGAGGACCCAGATTATAGAGTCCCAGCACCCGAATTACAGCTCACAACTCCAGCTCCAGGGGACCTGATGCCCTCTTCTGGCTTCAGGGGATCTGATGCCCTCTTCTGGCTTCTGAGAGCACTTCACTCATGCGGTGCAAAACTGTAGGCAAAACCTTTTTACTACTCCACTGAATTTTGATAGTGCATCAGCAGGATCAAAAAGCTTGTCAAAAACTGCAGAGGAAAAGGCATGTGACTGACATTATCCACAACATGGTATCTTATGGCTGCCCGGGAATCTGTAGTTGTGATGTGGACTCTCTGGAAAGCAGATGGAGCCACAAAGCTTTATACAGATCATAAATTCCTGTGGGAAGAGATTAGAGGAACTGACAAAGCAATCTCACAGAGCCCTGGGGCAAAACCTCAAAGGCCCTCAAGCAGCCAGAGAATCAATTGCTAAAGCTAGAGTAGATTTTTTTCTGGCGTTCCTAAGGGCGGGGGAGGGTATGGGGGGGGGGTCATGAATGATTAGGGCTTCCTCAGCCTTGGAGGAATGGAAGGCTATGGTTTCCTATTGTTGGAAATCATAGTCAAACAGTCAATTTACAAATCTCCGTGAGGCTCACCACCTCCCAGAAGAGAGACCTCAGCAATCACAGGAAGCTGGCTTCTGCCGCCTCTCCCTACATTAGGTCTGCTTCCCATCATTCTCTTTTTTGTCATCTTGGTCAGCAGAAGCAGGCGTCAACAGAGGCCTTCAGATGTGACAACTCATGCTAAGGTCAGGGATTCC